GTGTCCTCAGCTGAATGGGCGTGGAGGGGGAGCAGGATGGGAGGCAGCGGCGGCACAGCAACACTGTTGGGGTTCCTCACTGCTGCCAAGGCCCAGCCACCGCCCTGCCACATCCTCAGCTGAATGGGCGGGGAGGGGGAGCAGGACGTGAGGCAGTGGCTCCGGCAGCGGCAGCATGGCAGCATCGTCAGGGTTCCTCGCCGCTGCCCCCGGCCTGACTGCCGCCCCCGCTGGGACTCCGTGCTGCCCGGCCTCGTCCTCTGCCCATCGATGGAGCCATGGTGGAGGCAGTGCCCACCTGAACCGCCTGAGGAGCAGCAGGAGGAAGGAGAGGAGGAGGGCGAGGAAGCAGCCACCCCAGCCAGGACTCCATGCTGCCCAGCCTCATCCTCCGTCCATCAATGGAGCCATTGTGGGGGCTGGTGCTGCGCGACCCCTGCCAGCCCCTCTGCCAGCCCCTCTGCTCACCCCCCCCCAGGCACCCCTCTTGCTCCGGCGCCCACCTGAACTGCCTGGGGGGCAGCAGAAAGAAGGGGAGGAGGAAGAGGAGGGCAAGGAAGCCGCTGCCGGCACTGGGGCCCAGGAGGCGGCTCTCCTCTCCTACCTTTGCTGCATCTCCTTCTTCCTTCCTGGAAGCCTGGACTCCGGTGCGCCTTCCTGGCCAGCGGGTCCAATGGTCGGGCTGGCTGGGGATTGCAGGGGCTGGTTTCCCTTGGTTCAGCAGAGCCTCCAGCGGGCTGCTCCCAGCAGGGATCCCGGGGCTTCCCCGGGCGGCTCCAAGGCCACGAGGCCCTGGACGCGCTTCTCCCAGGGGGTGGGGCACCTGGGCGCAGGGCCAATCAGGAGCCCTGCAGGAGGTAAGTCCGCCTGAGAGAGAGAGAGAAGGGAAGCGAAAGTGTCTCTCTCTCTCTACAAATGGCGGAGGAGGCTCCGGAGCCGCAGGTGATGGCTCAAAGAACCGCATGCGGCTCCAGAGTCGTGGGTTGCCAACCCGTGACTTATACTATTTCTAAGCACATCTTAATTTTAATGTAAACCTTCAGGTAATCCTTGAGTTATGACCATAATAGAGCCTGAGTAGTTTGCAATGGCCGTAAAGAGAGTCAGTCATGTAACTGATACAATTTTACCACCTTTTTGCAGTGGTGATAAAGTGACTGCCATGTCATAAAGTGACTGCAGCACCCGTAAAGGAAATCCAGGGTTTGATATGTGCTAGTTTTGCTGAAAAATGGAAATTAATGTGTTTTGGGCAAAATCATTGTAAAATGCAGTAACATGACCGTGGGATATTGCAAATGGCCATAACTATGGCCCAGTTGCTGAGGGCCCTAAGTGCATTCATGTAAGTGGGGAGGGAGAGTGACTGTTCGAACTTCAAATCTGCATGATAAGTATCCCCTTGTAGGACCACTGGAACTAAGTGACATAAATTGAGGATTACCTATACAACACTTGTGACAAAGGGCAGAAAGTGCTTACAGGAGGCAGAAGAATGGGCCAAGAACAGAATTGTGGAAAAATGGTTTTTCAGTTTGCAAACTGAAAATCACTTCCGATTGGCAGGACAGAGATAGGAGGAACATAGAGATCTCTAGGAGAAAATGTTTGGTTTGCGGTCTAAAGAATTTGCTAAAAGTTGCCAAAGATTTATGATATAAGCAGCTGCTATATGAATCTCAAGAAGGAAACCACCTAAAACCAAAGGAGACTTTCAAAACCTTGTGTGTCCTGTCATAGCTCCAACTTCTAAAGCAGAGTTTTTCAAATTTCCACTAAGATGTGAAGTCCTTCAACTCTCACAATTCCCCAGTCAGCACATCTTGAGTTGCCAAGTTTAAAAAACATAGTTCTAAAGAAATCCACCTTATAGTATTTTCAAGGAAGGTCCTCTGAATGTGTCTTGTGACAGTTTCAGCAGAAATATAACTGATATCTTTAAAAACAAATTGCTACACTTCAGGTTTCTTCAGAAGCATCTCCAACTCTGTCCTTTTGTACTTGAGTTGTAGTGTTAGATGGCAGTACATAAGGGATGGGGTTTGCATTGTAATGGTGCAACCCACATTTTGTCATTTGTTCCCCTCTTCTCCATAGGTATCCACGAACCTCATGCTCATCGTCGGTTGTTTAATATCCTTCTATGAACCAGGAGTCTCTCCTCAGAGTATGGTCAAAAAAATCAGGATGATGCCAATATGGTGTGATTTTTTTCATATGTATTGCACATCCAATACACACAAAAAGCAGGCAGAGTCTTGATTGCATTGTACCATCTGCCATCTTCTTTTTGTTTTTAACTCACACTGGCAAAAAAGGAGACTTAAGATCTGCAAAACAAAGTTGTGATTTAACACACAAAGGCAATAGATGATAACCTATTATTATCACAATAGTCAGAACTGCTATCAGGATCATTGGAAATGGACTCTACAAAACTCCCAATGGGTAAATGTCTAGTTATTCACATCCACACAATAAGCTCACATCTGGTCTTTGATACTGTTGGGGGTGTAAATCCATTGTCTCTGACTTTTCTGCACCTCGTGATGTACTAACCACCAGGAGGCAGTAGGGTGTAGTTAGAGAGTTAAGGATTGACTCCTTCCCCTTCTTTCTCAATCAGGTTGCTAAACTGAGGTTCTGCCTTTCTCCTCTTGTGTTAGTGTAGAGCAGATGCTCTTGGATTCTCCTGTTGGAATGCAGGCACTAGGCCTCTAACTATACATAAATCTTTGTTTTACAATAGTTATAAAACCTGCTTCAGTACTGATCTGATTAGGATCTACTCTCAGGACACTCACAAAAAAATGCAATGTTTCAACCTCCAACCTAACATACACAACATGAAAGCACATGGCTCAGTTGGGATTATGTTATAGCTGGGAAGAAATCTTTTTGTATTGGATCTTCCAAAAAAGGTGCTAAAGCTAGGCCAGGTGAGGGGTTTTACCTCCTGGATTGTCCCAACACTGTCTTCACTCCTGATCAGTTTGCAAATAAGAGTTGTTATCATTATCGTTCTAGCCCGACTTTGAAAAAAATCTAGAGCTCGGAAGCCAGCTCTGACCTATTAAAATGCGTTGGGTGGGCAAGCAACTGGACTTACACCAGGCCATTCTATCTTTCCTGGAGCTGCTATTTTTGTGCGCAAGCTGCATCCTGCTTATTCGTCTCACTGTGCAATGGACAAAGAGCGGGCTCTCCTTCCGTAGGATATTGTACTACAGTACATCACCGCAACACGCTACCTCCCTCCCACACACCCTTTGTCCCCGACCTGATGCAACTCCCAGGGTGTATGTGCACCCACGCGGAGACGGGAGCGCGCGCCCACACGCACTCTGTCTCTCTCACACATCATATACACACATACAAAACGCTCGGCCAATCCCTGCCCAGCCTTCGCAGCCAATGAGGCAGAGGGAAATGCAGCGGGCTGCCAAATCCGGGGTCTGTTGCTAAGGCCAAAGCAAAATGAGCGGGCGGCTCTTCCCCAACCGGGCGGGGGAGGTAAGCGTTTTCTGCAGGCGCCGCGTTGCGCCTGCCCGCTCTTTGCAAGCCCGGCGGGGCCGGGGTAGAGTCGAGATGTGCAATCCGCTTCATTTAAGTACTATAAACCCCGGCTTGTGCTGCTCGTAGCCTGGGGGGGGGGGGGGAAGACCGAGATTTTCGTATGCGGGAGACCGGGCCTCGGGAAGTTGCGGGATTCGCCAATGCTGCTGCGTCATTGCTTGAGCGGGGCCTCTGAGTATGAGCCGAGGGCCATCTGCGGCTCAAATGAGAGGATAACTTGTGAGGTGCTTGCAGTGTGACGGGCTTGGCTTAAGCTTGCAATGCAATGTCTAGGAATATAGCATTCATCCTATAATAACTAAAGGCGCTATAAAAGAAAAAAACGGAAGTGAAGAGTTGTCAGTGTCATTCGTGTACATGTAAGAAACTCACTAGCCAACGCCAAAATGGTGAAGAACATTTCTGCACCAGTAGGAGACCCACCAGAAATTGGGAGATTGCCAGCACCAGGCTAGAATACTTAACCCCCCCCCCCAAGGGCCCATCAACAGTGTTACTATTCCAAAATGTGTCAGCCTTGACATACATTGAAACTGTCATATGATGCAGCTGATTTAAGGGGGGGAAATCATTCATGGGAACAACTAAGGACCACCTAAGTCTGTTTTTAAGCATGGGCTGGGGAGGAGTTGAAGACACGGGGACTTACCAAAATAAAGAGATGAGCAGCATGAGGAAGAAGATCCCAAATAAACAGAGGGCGGAAAACAAAAAAAGGAAGCTGGAGAGGAAGAGAGAGAGAGAAAAAAATGGCTGGCAGAAGAGAAGAGGAAGGAAAACAACCTTAGAACCTAAAAAGAAAACTTAGAAGGGATCCAAGGTTACAGTCTTGCTATCACTTGATCTTAGATTTAAAAAAAAAACCTCTTACTTTAATGGACGCCTGTCTTAGACAAAATTGGGTAACTATGGGAATTTTATGACTTACGGATTTCAACTACCAGAATTCCTGAGTCAGCTGCAAGGAATTTGGGGGAGGGACCCCACAGTTTATAAAGTTGCCAGAGTTGGCCACCTTGCTCTTAGGGCTGCTTTTTGGCATTTCCTTAGTAGCAAGCATCCATCAGAGCTCTTGGATAGTTGTAAGAAATACCCTGGTGACTCAGGCACATTGATTCTCACCCAACCTTGGCTTGAGTGAGAATTTAGAACAGCGGTTCTCAACCTGTGGGTCATGACCCCATCTGGGGTCGAACGACCATTTCACGGGGGTCGCCAAACATTGCAGTCCGCCATTTTTCCTTAGCTGTGCTACTCCCTTTTATTCTATTGGCTTTTGAAAGCCAATAGAATAGACTCTCTTGAATAGAGTCTAATTCTATTGGCTTTCAAAAGCCAATAGGAATTGTCCAGGCTGTCTCTGCCCTGCTGAGCCCGCCAAAAGTCCCATTCTGCAAACGGTGCTGCAAGTTGTCTGCAGCGAAGGCGAGCTGTCTGGAAGTTTCCACCCCTACCTGCTGAGCAACTACTAAAAATGTAAGTAAAAGAGGGCCAGGGGTGGGAGGTGGGAGGCTGGCGGGCGCAGGGAGGGTTGCTGGCGCGCGTGGGGCCCGGCGGGTGCCTTACCTCCCTTGGGCTGGGCCAGCTGGTGGCCCAGCTGGTGGTCACCCTGCGCCGTCGCTGCCCCTTGCCAGCTACGCCTCGGCCGGCGCAGGGGGCAGCACCACGCATGCGCGGCACTCCTAGGCAGGGAAAGTCCTCGACTTACGACCGGCTGGGTAGTCCTCAACTTACGACTGGTTGAGTAGTCCTCGACTTACGACCAGTTGGGGGTTGCGACCTTAAAAAGGTTGAGAACCACTGATTTAGATGCAGTCACAAAACCAGAGGAATTTGCAGGTTACAGTAATTTTTTTTTAAAAAAGCTCAAACTGGTTGCACCATTGCAACCACCATTTTGACTTTTTTGACCACATCCTGCAGAATTCCCCACACCAAACCCTAAAGCATGAGAGATCTGAACCATGGGTGAAGTTTAAAGTCAGGGAGGAAAATGATTGATCGGATAACTTACTTGTTTTTCCTGAATGTAAAAAGATATATTCATATAAATGATGAACTCCATATAATTTTTTCCAGAATGTGACATTAAGGAGAGAACCAAACCAGCATAATAAAGATTTAGACTTCATTAGAGGCACAGCAAAGTGGCACAATGTAATTTTTGTTTCATCTTTGTCAACCATCAGGCTCCAGCTGTTTCTATTTTGATAGAAAGCGGCTATGCTGCAAAGCCGAAGCTCCAAATTTGGGGTACCAAATATAGTCCCATAATATGCAAAAGACAGGTATGTTTTTGAACTGCTCTGTGTTGCTGAATATTTCACATTAATTATTGCTTGGCATTGCTTTATACATAGGAAGTAAGGTGAAGGATTGGGAACAAAAATGGAAAGTTGACATTGGTTCAGGTTTCAGGTATTACACAGAAAGCCTATGGGCCTTTGTTACACTCAATTTATTTACTAAATTTAGATTAGCACGAGTAATCTGCATTTATGCAAATCTAAGTTGAAAAATAACTTCGAAAGTGGGAGGCAAAATCAAAAATAACAATTTATCAAAACCTGATAGAGGAACCAAAAGTGATGGATTGGAATAATCGTGACTAAGAAGGTGGATCTAGAACTTTATCAGGATGGACATGAAAACTACACAGGTGGACTGAAGAATGACCAGTCACAAGGTAGAGTCATGACAACAGGTCATATACCAGTCTAGGCCTTGACCAGCCAGAAGTGGAAGAATACTTTGATCTGAAGGAATATTTGTACTCAGGGTTGAACTGTAGAGTCCTTGGTGCTCTCTTAACTTGTTTTTTTTGCAAATGTTTCATTACCAAAAAGAACTACCAGATTCTCTCCTACCAACACTGATAGGGTAACCACTAATATATAATAAGAGAGCAAATCCCTCTCCATATTAGCACTAGTGATGTTACATAGTTTGGTAATGAAACATCTACAAGAAAACAACAAAGCTTAGAGAGTACCAAGGACCCTGCAATACTTTAATCTTTAATACTTTAAGTCCAAACAAGATACCAAGTTCTAACTTAAGGGCTCCTCAATCTTGGGGGGGAAATCAATACTGAACCTGGGTTTTGATTCTCTTGCTGCTTTGTCTGTCCTGGATTCTTCAACTGTTTGGCCAGACCATCTGGTTAGAACCTATAATTTATGGATGAAGATTCTTGTTAAAACTAAACATTTGTTCTGAGTACTTTAGCATAAGTACTTGGTTTCTTTCTCTTTCCCTGTTGCTTGCCCTTATTTGATTTATGAACAAAAGTACAGATAGTTTAAAGATAGTGATTTTTCTTGTGGTTGCTAAAACCATACACTTGCTGCAACATACTTCTATAACTCAAGCAGTTGCTAAAATGGTTGGAAAAAATAGAAATGTTTTCCTAAACATTAAATTGCTATTTCCTAAACTGTAAGCCCACTTAAAGATTCAAAATCCCAGCATCTCTGGAGAGTTCTGTGAATGCTGTCCAGCCTGATTCCAGATAGCATACCTAGTTACAATAATATATTGTGCTGAGAACATTTCCTATGCTTCTGCTTCTCCCTACTCTTAATATAGTTCATCTTTGGCCACATAATTGGAGTTTGGCATGACCATCTTGGAATTGTGGCATAAAAAACATAGGGGTGATCAGTCCAAAAATCAACAGGTCCTAGAAATTTGGTTAAAACCAAAATGCACAAATAGTTTGTGCTGAGTCTCTGTATCAACAGAGGCACAGATTTGGGAGAGGGTTCTCCTGATCAGAAAAAAGGAGAAAGGTAAGATGATGATGGAGAGCAGTTGGGGACCAGGGAGTTGTAGGAGTAGAAAAAGTGAAAGAGCCATCTTATTAATTTGCCTTTTGGGAAATGTGTTCTTCATGCTTGGCTATGCTCATTCTGACAGCCATTTTGTGGGCGGACCTAGAACACTTGTTGTAAACACCAAATGGGTTCACCACCCAAAAAAGAATGACTGCCCCTTGTAGAAAAGAGGAATGTCTTTTCTCACCAATCCTTCATTGTCAGTGTTGGAAATATGTTAGTACTGCAGAGAAGTCTGTTTTTGCAAGAACAGATTGATGGAGGGTGGAAAGAGAGGCGAGCAAACTGAAAGCTGGATCTGGTGAGATTGCTATAGTTATTCTGGCCCTCATAGCCTTAATTTCTCCATAGAGGAGACAGCTTCTACAACTCTGATCAGGACCATCTGGAAACATTTGGATTGCATTAATTAAGCCATTAAATAACTAAGAGCCTAAGATTTTGTTTTTACATATTTTATGAATTCTTGTATATCATCTCTAGATGTTGAGATCTCAGTCTGTGTTCTGCTTTGAATAGATTTTAGGACATATCTTTCCACAACAGGCTATACCATGGCTAGCAAAAACCATGATTTACAAAATTAACTAGTTGGTTAGGTTTCATAATCTACTGAACTAAACTCTAATCAGACAAGCTATATTCACATGACATCCTGATGAATTGAGCCACAAAGTCAACCACATTATATCTTATTATGTTGCACAAATACAGCTTTATTGTATTGCCCCTACTTCTCTAATGCTACAAAAAAAAAACAAAATGACAAAGATACAGATTTAAGATTTTTGAAATACATCCTTTTCATGAAGGATGACCCACATGGATTTTTACTAAGCTGATGGATTTCAATCATTGAAACCTTGTGCCAAAGAGTAGATAGAGACCACAATATATTGCTGAGAAAATGCATTCCTCTTCAGCTGCTGTAAAGAATGCACCAGAAAACTCAGAGACAAAAGGAAAAACCAACAAATGGAAAACGAGGTCATTGTCCTAGTTTATACAGTATTTTTCCTTCAGTTGCACCAGTGCTTCATGTTACAGTATTTTTTTCCTCAAAATACAGCAGCTACAAGATACAAATCAGAAATCATACCTACTGCAAGAGAATAGGGCAATCGGATTTCACAAAAATACAGGTAGTCCTTGACTTAACAGCCATTTGTTTAGTGATTGTTCAAAGTTACAACAGCACTGGAAAAAAGTGACTTAGGACTGTTGCAGCATCCCCATGACCTGACAAGTAAAGTCAATGGGGAAACCAGATTCACATAATAACCATGTTACTAACTTAACAACTGTAGTGATTTACTTAATAACTGTAGCAACAAAGGTCATAAAATAAGGCAAAACTTATTTAGCAATTCTGAGTTCAATTGTAGTCGTAAGTCAAAGACTACCTATATTTGTGGGGGGGGGGGGAAGCAGGAAACAGTAGTTGGCTGCAAATAAATATGCATCAGTAATATGAAGTGGCTGCAAAAAAGGCAAATACAATTTTAGGTTGCATCAACAGATGGTAGTCTTCAACTTACTGTTTGTTTAATGACCAAAGTTACAATTGGCAATAAAAAAAGGAAACCAGTCCTTACACTTACAACCATCGAGGTATCTCCGTGCTCACATTATCAAAATTTGGGTGCTTAGCAACCAATATATTAGCAGTTGCAATATCCTGGGGTCATGCGATCATCATTTTTGACCTTCCCAGCTGGCTTCCAATAAGCAAAGTCAACAGGGGAAGCCAGAGTTGCTTAATGATTGCATGGTTCACTTAACAAACTACGTGATTTGCTTAAGAACTGTGGAAAGAAAGGGGGTGAAATCAGCCGCAACTCACTTAACAATTGCCTTGCATAGTTATGGGAATTCTGGACCTAATTATGGATGAGCTCTAGTATCCATATCACTGTATTCTATGTTGTTCAAACATGACCTTGACAATTGAGGCAGACACTAGATTTTAAGAAGGATTCCGTCAACACAGAAGGAGTGAAGGAACTGGGACTGTTTTGCCTTCTGAAGAAAAGATTGAAGGATGGGGTATGATAATACCCTTCAAAGATCATAGGGAAGGTGGTTAAAACCGCTGCAGGACATCCAATAATAAATTTTAGTCATAGGAAGGGAGTCTATGTGAGTGATAGGGAAAACATCTTAACAGTAACTGCTGTTGTGCAGTGTAGATAGTTGTCCAGAGAAATGGTGTGCTCTTCCCCTTCACTTGATGTCTTCAACAGCAGCTAAACTCCTATGCTCAATCTGAATGAAAGTGGATCTGTTCACTGTCTTCCATTTTCATTCATGATGATTTCCTAACAGTCTTCTGCCCGTTGGTTGAGGACCATTCATTTCATGTCCTCTGAACTTATCAGTGTCACCAAATGCACGCAGTCCATTTTTACCTGATGTACCCATCCAGATTAGGGCCCTTCCGGTTCCTTTGCACGAAACTTTAGAGCAGTGATGGCGAACCTTTTAGAGACCGAGTGCCCAAACCACAACCCCAAACCCACTTATTTATCACAAAGTGCCAGGGCACGCAAAAATGGGCCACCATACTGAAGGTGCAAAAACGGCCGTGCCGTGGGGTGCAGATACAAGGCGCTGCACCATGCAAGAATGGGGCAGGGCTAGTGAGTATCATGCAGGCACTAGCCCCACCCCAATTGCAGCACATGCATGCTCGCGGCCCCGTGCACGCATGCACGCATGTAAAATGCTTCCCCCTCCCTTTTCTTCCAGTCCACCAATCAACAATGGTTGGTGACCTCTGTTCTACCACCTCTACTCGATTGCTAGTTGGCCACTTCGCCTCCTTTGTGCTGGGCGGGGCTCCTGCTCCGTGCAGTAGTGGTACCCTGATGCACCTGCTGCTGGCGGCGGTGGCACATGTGCCAACAGAGAGGGCTCTGAGTGCCGCCTCTGGCACACGTGCCATAGGTTCGCCACCACTGCTTTAGAGTCGGACCAAGGGGTTGTTTTTTTTTACTGTTTCTTTGCTTAAAGGTTAGTGGATGAATTGATTCCTGTACTAAACTTATAAATCCTTACAAAACAAAGCATCTAAAGTCTGAGAATTAATCAGAAAATTCAGCACTGACATAAGGGAGAAGAGAAAATGGAGAAGGGACAGAATGTCAGCCCTTTGAGATAGCCCAGAGAAGAAACTAAACCCATGAGTACTAATACTGTCTTTAGTGTAAGATTAAAGTCTGAAGGCACTTCCCCCTCTCCCCTGCCTTTATGTTCCAGAGAATTAGGGAGGGTCCTGTCTAAGATGATTTCTCCACCCCATCTCTGCTTTGGACTCAGATTTTGTTTATCAGACCGTTTGTTTAGGCTGAGTTCTTTCTCCTGTTTCCCAAGGTTATTTTCACAGACCATTACACAGAAGCAGAGGAGGGAAAAAGTCTCTTAAGATTGCTCAGGTTTATTCAAAGAGTTTC